CATCTTGATCTAAATTGATTGGAGGTGTTAATACTCACACGGATCACATAGATTCTGATCTAAATTGATTGGAGGTGTTAATATGCACATGAAACTCAAGGCTTCTGATCTAAATTGATTGGAGGTGTTAATACTCACATGGATCACATGGCTTCTGATCTAAATTGATTGGAGGTGTTAATATGCACATGACATGGCTTCTAATCTAAATTGATTGGAGGTGTTAATACTCACACGGATCACATAGATCTGATCTAAATTGATTGGAGGTGTTAATACTCACACGGATCACATAGCTTCTGATCTAAATTGATTGGAGGTGTTAATACTCACATGGATCACATAGCTTCTGATCTAAATTGTTTGGAGGTGTTAATATGCACATGACATGGCTTCTGATCTAAATTGATTGGAGGTGTTAATACTCACACGGATCACATAGCTTCTGATCTAAATTGATTGGAGGTGTTAATACTCACACGGATCACATAGCTTCTGATCTAAATTGATTGGAGGTGTTAATACTCACACGGATCACATAGATTCTGATCTAAATTGATTGGAGGTGTTAATATGCACATGAAACTCAAGGCTTCTGATCTAAATTGATTGGAGGTGTTAATACTCACATGGATCACATGGCTTCTGATCTAAATTGATTGGAGGTGTTAATATGCACATGACATGGCTTCTAATCTAAATTGATTGGAGGTGTTAATACTCACACGGATCACATAGCTTCTGATCTAAATTGATTGGAGGTGTTAATACTCACACGGATCACATAGCTTCTGATCTAAATTGATTGGAGGTGTTAATACTCACATGGATCACATAGCTTCTGATCTAAATTGATTGGAGGTGTTAATATGCACATGACATGGCTTCTGATCTAAATTGATTGGAGGTGTTAATACTCACACGGATCACATAGCTTCTGATCTAAATTGATTGGAGGTGTTAATACTCACACGGATCACATAGCTTCTGATCTAAATTGATTGGAGGTGTTAATACTCACACGGATCATAGCTTCTGATCTAAATTGATTGGAGGTGTTAATACTCACACGGATCACATAGCTTCTGATCTAAATTGATTGGAGCTGTTAATATGCACATGAAACTCAAAGCTTCTGATCTAAATTGATTGGAGGTGTTAATACTCACACGGATCACATAGCTTCTGATCTAAATTGATTGGAGGTGTTAATATGCACATGTCATGGCTTCTGATCTAAATTGATTGGAGGTGTTAATACTCACACGGATCACATAGCTTCTGATCTAAATTGATTGGAGGTGTTAATACTCACACGGATCACATAGCTTCTGATCTAAATTGATTGGAGGTGTTAATACTCACACGGATCACATAGATTCTGATCTAAATTGATTGGAGATGTTAATATGCACATGAAACTCAAGGCTTCTGATCTAAATTGATTGGAGGTGTTAATACTCACATGGATCACATAGCTCCTGATCTAAATTGATTGGAGGTGTTAATATGCACATGACATGGCTTCTAATCTAAATTGATTGGAGGTGTTAATATGCACATGACATGGCTTCTGATCTAAATTGATTGGAGGTGTTAATACTCACACGGATCACATAGCTTCTGATCTAAATTGATTGGAGGTGTTAATACTCACACGGATCACATAGCTTCTGATCTAAATTGATTGGAGGTGTTAATACTCACACGGATCACATAGCTTCTGATCTAAATTGATTGGAGGTGTTAATATGCACATGAAACTCAAAGCTTCTGATCTAAATTGATTGGAGGTGTTAATACTCACACGGATCACATAGCTTCTGATCTAAATTGATTGGAGGTGTTAATACTCACACGGATCACATAGCTTCTGATCTAAATTGATTGGAGGTGTTAATACTCACACGGATCACATAGCTTCTGATCTAAATTGATTGGAGGTGTTAATATGCACATGTCATGGCTTCTGATCTAAATTGATTGGAGGTGTTAATACTCACACGGATCACATAGCTTCTGATCTAAATTGATTGGAGGTGTTAATACTCACACGGATCACATAGCTTCTGATCTAAATTGATTGGAGGTGTTAATACTCACACGGATCACATAGATTCTGATCTAAATTGATTGGAGGTGTTAATATGCACATGAAACTCAAAGCTTCTGATCTAAATTGATTGGAGGTGTTAATACTCACATGGATCACATAGCTTCTGATCTAAATTGATTGGAGGTGTTAATATGCACATGACATGGCTTCTAATCTAAATTGATTGGAGGTGTTAATATGCACATGACATGGCTTCTGATCTAAATTGATTAGAGGTGTTAATACTCACACGGATCACATAGCTTCTGATCTAAATTGATTGGAGGTGTTAATACTCACATGGATCACATAGCTTCTGATCTAAATTGATTGGAGGTGTTAATATGCACATGACATGGCTTCTAATCTAAATTGATTGGAGGTGTTAATACTCACACGGATCACATAGCTTCTGATCTAAATTGATTGGAGGTGTTAATACTCACACGGATCACATAGCTTCTGATCTAAATTGATTGGAGGTGTTAATACTCACACGGATCACATAGCTTCTGATCTAAATTGATTGGAGGTGTTAATACTCACACGGATCTACATAGATTCTGATCTAAATTGATTGGAGGTGTTAATACTCACACGGATCACATAGCTTCTGATCTAAATTGATTGGAGGTGTTAATATGCACATGAAACTCAAGGCTTCTGATCTAAATTGATTTGAGGTGTTAATACTCACATGACTCTCGTGACGTCTGATCAACCTTAATTGGAGGTGTTAATATGTACACGACACTCATGCCTTCTGATCTAAATTGATTGGAGGCATTAATACTTACATTGCTCTCATGGCTTCTGATCTACATAGACTGGAGGTATCTAATTGAGTGGAGCCACATCTAAAATTGATAACCCGTATAACGCGAAGAGAAATTGCTAACATCACAGTGAACTTCTTTATGTGCCTTGTCTCCTCGGGATGTTGGCGGTCGTGACTCTCCACAACTTCCTGCCACTTGCAGATCTAAATTATTTCGGTCTTTTCTTTATTTCTAAACCCTGTCCCGCCATTCATTTACTCAAGATCAATAATTATGTTATGCTTTCTTTTATTCTATCTCTCTTGCCCTCATTCTGTCCTGTGAGCGTCAGATTTTCCAAGCCGTCCTTTCTCATTATATTCCCTAGAGATTTCAGTTGGTGTTTCCTGATGTTAAATATTTTTCTTGTTTCCGTTTTCTCTAAAATCGCGTCGTTGCTCACATATACGGTCCTTGGTATTCTCAACATCCTTCTGTAGAACCACATTTATGATTAGCGTTTGGATTTCATTCCTGCCTATTCCAAGGCTTCTTCGGATTTCAGTATCGCATTTTCCGTCCGCTCTTAGAGCCCTTCATAGATAATTGAGAAACCTACACCCTTGTGCAAATTAAGCGAAACAACCGCTTTAGTTTTCTTTCTTTCACCATACGGTCACGTTTAAACCTATTGGAATGACAGGGTTTAATCGATTTACAATTTTTCCTCCCCCTTAGGTTATTTGAAGTGGTGTGCAGTAATATGAATCTATTTTCGGGTTGTATAATGAAATTTCTTTGGTCTTTGCGTCATCCGTGATTGCATCAGTTTTTTTTAACACGCCCCGACACTATTGTCTCGACTGTCGATTTGTTGCCCTGTTTGATTTGTTGATGGACATTACTCCAGAGAAGCGTATGAAAATTGTAACGTCGCACGAATACACACTGGCAAGCCTTACAGAGAGATTGCTGACTGTACGACGAAAGAGAAGCTCATGACGGCCATTATAGACGTGTGGTAACGTGACCCCCAAATCAATGAGGACTTCTCCAAATTAGGGGTTTCCATGCCAGATCGCATCAAAGACATTCTAAAAAAAATAAAGACGGATATACGAAGTACTAACGTGTGCACTGGGTCATATTTCATTGGAAAAATACGAAAAAAGTAAATAACGGAATTATTTGTTTTGTTTCAATTAATTTGCACAAGGGTGTATTTTCCTGGAAAACTGCTTTAATGAAAAGATTTTTTTTAAAATTCAATCCTACCATAGGACTGGCTGCTCAAATTATAAGGAAATGGTTAATATTATCATTACCCTTTACCATTAGCATAATTGAATAGACGCGTCACATAGAAGATAATGTAACAATGATAGTCCAAGTGTGTAAACTTCTCTCGCGAGTAGTTTGTAGCAAATTATTTAACATCTCTCAGTTGCGTCTCTGTCTTCAGGCAGAGTGCACTCAGAGGCGGCTCCGTCAAAGGACAAAGTCGCAACTGAGAAAAATTATACTGAGAGGTGCCGAGCCTAGGGAACAGCTGAACGAAGGCCGCGCCTTCTCATTGCACCAGAGAGAGGGATCGGTGCTCGCACCGAGGCCAACGCAAAAGTGGTTGAGCGGGCTCTTGGCAATTTTTGTTCCTTTCCGGGTGTACGCGCTCGGGTCCCCACCTTAAAAAATGACCTTGTGTCACAACTCGTCTTAGTGGGGAGACAGAGAATATATGTAGCCCAGGTGTTCATGTTACTACCGGAACGTAATAATCTTTTCATTTTCTTTCACTCGTTCTCCAGGAGTTGAAAAGAAGACAAAAAAAAAAAAAAATAAAATAAAATAAAAAATAAAATAAAAAACACTACAGATAACATACCATATTCAGCTGCGGAAAGCCGAAGAAGTCATCGGCAGAAACAATGTGTTAAAAACAACAAAGATATAGACAATAGCAGAACTAAATGAAATAATGTTGGACTTGTCAGAAAAAAATAAGTATGAGATTATAGGATGGCAAAAGAGAGAAACATAAAAACAGGAACGAAAAAAAAAACTCCTGGGTTATCACCTCTTATCTCTTCCCTTACGATCATAATAAAACTACAATAAAACCCGAAAAAATGCTCTTAGAAAAACAAGGGATGTGTAAGTTAAATCAAATCTCAGGAAACCATCTTGTCGTCCATTCTAATCAAATCTCTCACTCATATCCTTCTTGAAGTCTGCTATTTCAATTCGACTTTTGCTTTTCTTTGCTCCTTTCGTTCTTCATTTCTGTTACATTTTATCACCCAATTTCTTCATTTTTATTCCTTATTTTTGCTGCCATAGATACCTTTCTTGCGCGTGCGCAGGCATTTTGTTTTTGTTTTCTTTCTTCTGTTTTTTTTTCTGTTCTTTCGTCTTTACTTTCATAGTTATTACTTTATTTCTTCTTTTAATTCAACTCTCATTTTTTCTTTCTTTCCACTTTTAATTACTTTTTCTTTCTTTCTCTCTTTCCAGATTTTTAATTCATCTTTCATTCTTTTTCCGTGCTTTTATTTTTCATTTTCACCATTTTCTTTTCTTTCTTTCTTTCGTTCTTCCTTTCTTTCTTTCATTTTTATTTCCGTCCTGCACATTATACTGATCTGTTTTTTTTTCTTAACCAAGTTTTCTTAACCAGACTTAACCAAGTCCAGTACACAGCACAATATAAAGGAAATCAAGGCAGAAAGATCGTGTTGCGCAAACTATTCTTAATTTATATTTTATAGTTCCCCATCAATATTTTCACAAAAGTTTCTTAATTTCTTTGTATGAAGTTGTACGTCATTCCGTACAGCCATTTTATTAACGTTCTCTAGTCAAGTAAAACGCGACACTAGTTGAGCGCTAGATAATATCCTAACATTATTCTCTCTCTCTCTCTCTCTCTCTCTCTCATATTCTGCTAGTTCACTCGATCGCTCTGTCTTTTTTCTTTAGTTTTCCGTTAATTTCTCTCTCACACACACTGACTCTCTTCCTCTCTCTCTCTCTCTCTCTCTCTCTTTCTTGTACTTGATCTTTTTACCTCATTTCTTTCGCCCTTTCCGTTATTTATCACTTTTTCCGTCTCCTTCGATAAAACCCGTAAGTCTTTCTTTGATTTTTCCCTGTACTCTCAATCTCTCTCTTTCTCTCTTTCGCTTTCTTTCTCTTTATCATTTTCTATAATTTATTTCTCCCTCTTACACTTACCGCATTTATTTATTTCCCTCCCTCACTCGATTATCTTTCCACTTTTTTCCTACAACTCCTCTTTTTCTCTCACCTTATCTTTTTTCCTTTACGATTATTTTCTCTCTCTCTCTCTTTCGAACTCACCGTCTTTTTCACCTTTTCCAATATTTCTCTCACTTTCTTTTTTTTTTTTCCTTTTGTTCCATCTACTCTTTCTCTCTTTCTTTTTTCTTAGGGTCCTATGTCTTCGTTACTCTCTTTGTTCTTTTCATCTTTCTATGTAAGATCTCTTCTTTTTCTTTTTTTATTCCCTCTCTGTTTAATTTCTTCTTTTCTTTCTATCTTTTACCTTTTTTTTTTATTTCTCTTTAGCTCATCGCTTTCTTTACTTTTGTCGGATCTTTTTTTTTTTTTTTTTTTTTTCTCACACAACTCTGTTTGTCTGTCTCTCTCGCTCTCGCTTTCTTTTTCCTCTTTGTTCGATTTCTTTCTGTCTGTCTGTCCTTCTCATCCTTTCTTCTTTTTCCTATCCGTTTTTCTTTCTTTCTTTCTTTCTTTCTTTCTTTCTTTCTTTCTTTCTTTCTTGTTGTTGTTGTTGTCTATTCCGCTCCCCGCTGCAGATTGTCATTGATCTTCTTTGTCTCTCCCATTGTGACATTGTAATATTCCCTCTCGCTATTTTAACTCACTCTAATGCTCTCAACCAGCGGGAACTTATTCTATTTTATGCCATTGGTCATTCTTTTATGACTTATAAACACAAAGTAATGACTCTCCGTGTCTAGACTCCAGACTGCTTCTTTCATATTTTGAAAAAAAAAAAAAAAAGGAAGTATGTACACCTGCACAGAAACAAAGCAGACACAATCATATATATATATATATATATATATATATATATATATATTAAAGAAACGTTATTGCTTATAATGTGTCTTTTTAAAATATATATTATACTTTATTTTACATATTTTAGCTACAAGGGTTTCGGGACTTGTGACCTTCATCAGGCGAAGAGTGGTTAATTCCACATATTATTTAAAGGAATTGATTTTTCCTTATGTTTTCCCATGTTTAACTATTGTCTTTTGTGTGTAGTAATAATCCATTTTTTTTATTAATACTACAAAAAAAAGGTTAAACATTGGAAAACATAAGGAAAAAATGCATTCCTTTATATAATATATGGAAATAATCAATCTTAGACTAATGAATGTCGAAAAAGCCGAAACGTGAGTAAAAAAAAATATGGAAAAATAAAATATAATATATATTTTAAAAATCAACACTATATCTCAAAATGTTTGCGGCTTTTCTCTTTTCTTTTGAAATATACATTTTCTCTTATTGGAACAATTATAACCTCTCCCTATATATATATATATATATATATATATATATATATATATATATATATATATATTTAAAAAAAAAAGAGACCCTTTTTAAGGTTCCATTATAATAATTTATTATAATGGAACCTTAAAATGGTCTGTTTTTCTTTAAATTATTAGCTCTGGATTTACATTGAGCTTTCAGGATTTCATCCTCCTTGGGATTACCCATACGGATTACCAAGTTATTCATAACTTAACTATATATATATATATATATATATATATATATATATATATATATATATATATATATCCACTGATGTATGCATAAATTAAAGAAGGAAAACATCATTCATATTGTCCTTTTACACATACATATTTACTTATATCTGAAATTTTACACACACACACACACACACACACATATATATATATATATATATATATATATATATATATATATATAGCTAGCTAGATGCTTTATGATTGAATTTAACGGTGCTCAAATACACAAGTATGCATATATATATATATATATAGAGAGAGAGAGAGAGAGAGAGAGAGGGAGATGAGAGAGAGAGACAGAGCGACATACAGAGAGACAGAGAGATATAGATATATACATATATATATATATATATATATATATATATATATATATATATATATATATATGTATGTATAAATTAAAAAGGAAAACATTATTCATATTGTTCTTTTTACAGTGATATATTTTATTTATATCTGAACTTTTACACACACACACATATATATATACATATATATATATATATATATATATATATATATATATATATAGAGAGAGAGAGAGAGAGATAGATAGATAGATAGATAGATAGATAGATAGATAGATAGATAGATACTCGCTGATTGAATTTAACACAAAGTTCCGATTTTCATTTTTCCCCTTTCATGGACATGTTTTAATTTCTGCTGAGAAATATTTCTCCGCGTTGTGAAATTCAAACTGTTTGCACATTAACCTCTGAATTCTTCCCAATCATGGCTATTTTCTACACATCCTGACCTCATGTGCAAATGTTTCCAGCGTTTTGTTAAATTGTTTGATTATTAATCATTGTTACGCATATATTTAACAACCATGAAAATATTTTCTTTGATTTTCAATGACTAGATGCAAATTTCCAGAAGGTTTTGATATAACGACAATGGCATCGACGAAATAACTATACAGGTATACCTCGGGTTAAGTCGTTTCGAGTTATATCGTTATCGATTATACGTCGTGTGTCAAAAAAAATATATGCAAAAATAAAAATCAATTTTATTCAATTTTACGTCTGTCCGCCACAAATATTGAAGTCGTAATATCACCGGAAAAGCGTTAAAAGCACTTACAATCATGTTACTGTACAATAAATACGAATAAAAGTATATAAATATTATTAACATACATACATATAGAGTAAATGTTAATATTATTATCATAAATCCTAGAGAATGAAATATGAAAACATCTGTGACTCTGTGTTGTCGTCTTATTTAGCGGTTTTTTAAGAGGTCAATATTGGCGTTTTCCACGGTAGTTCCAATATCTTACGTTTGGCGTCGTTGTCAGCTCCACTCATGATTCCCGCGAAATTTAAATCCAGTTTAGTTTAAGCATGCGCCCGGTATACGTCTGCTTATCGCCTACTCTCTTCATTCTCATTCATTATTGACTTTATATTTTGTTTCAGTAAGAAAAGAGTAAAAATCTTTGAAGAGATGGAAAAGCTTCTGCTATTAGTCAAGAAATCATTCAAGCGAAAGCGTTGTCTTTGTTTGAGGACCTGATGAGAATGATGTAGAGTTTAAAGCGAGTCAAGGTTATTTTATGAAATTTAAAGAACGAAGAAGTTATCACTCTATTAAGAAGCAAGGTGAAAGTGCATCTGCTGACGAACAAGCAGCAGCAGATTTTCTTAAAGTATTGGCTAAGATCATCTAAGAAAACAGGTTTCTTCCTGAACAGATTTTTAACGTTGACGAAAAATGCTAGACCGTTCTTTCATTGCTAATGCTAAGTGTAAGGCTATTTCGCTGATAAATTATTTTATTCGGAATACTGTGCGTACATATCATAAATACTGTAATATGCAATGGGGTGTCCTTATTTGCGGTTTATAGTGTGGTTATTTCGATTTAAGTCGTTTTTCGACCTAAGTCGTGGCCTCTGGAATCAATTATTGTAGGGTGAGGTATTGACAATGAAATTTTGAAAATCGAAGATGTATTTAAAAATTTGACCAAGTATATAATGCTGTATACTAAGTGAAATAAAGATGGCGTCAATTCTAGTGGCGTCCTGGGTAAGATGATAAACTGTATCCGGCAGCTAGGCCTCTGATCTGGAGGTTTCGAGTAGCGTGGAACCACCTCTTAATTGTTGGTATTCCCAGGTCCACTCTGGCCAGGGATGGTAGCATCTGTTAGGGCCCCAACTATGTGCAAATAGTTAAACCCCAAACTGGGGTCAAAATGCTATGAAAGTGTAAAAATAGGTTTTAATACCAGCAATATATTTTTGTAGAAAATTATTACCAGCAATAAATCTTTGTAGAAAAAAATATTATCATCAATAGGTTTTTGAAAAAATATTAACGGTTATACATTTTTGAAAAAATATTACCAGTAATAAAAAATCTAGTCGGCATTAAATAACCCATTGAGATTGATATGACGTAAAACAGATAAAAGAAAAAGAATATCTGATCCCTTTTGTCATGAAACAATATGATTCTACTGACTTTGAAATAATATTTTTTTTTAATTGCAATGATTATATCACGTCTGTTTGAAAAGTAACAGAATTGATGTCACAAACATTTTTTTTCAATGCCAGACAACATGGTTTCTCCTTCAAATAATCCCCCTTGAGTCTAATGCAATTTTTCCATTCTTCTCTGCAACGCTTCTATGCGCTTCAGAAAGGATTCTTCTTGGATTTCCTTCAGGACCGTCGTTAGGGCCCTCTTGATGGCTAGCACACCTTCAAAACGGGTTCTCTTGATGATCCATTTGAACATTGGGAAAAGGAAAAATTGTCGCACGGAGATAGATCAGATAGGGAGGTTGTTCCATTACGGCGATGTTCTTCTGGGACAGGAACTAAAGCTATTAAAATTGTATTTTAAACAACCAGTTCATGAATATTTATACGAAGTTTGTGTGAAAAGTAACGGCACTGGTGTCACAAACAATTTATTTCAATTCCAGAAAACAAACTACGTGGTTTCTCCTTGAAAATAATTCCCATCAATTCTAATGCACTTTCCCATCCTTTCCTGCTTCTTTGCACTGCTGGAAAGATTTTTCTTGGATGCCACTCGACTCTATCGTTACGGCCCTCTTGCTGGCATCCAAGCCTTCAAAACGAGTTCCCTTGATGTTCCCCTTGTGCTTGTGGAAAAGAAGAAAGTCACACGGAGCAAAATCAAGTAAATATGGAGGTTGTTACTGTATGGTGATCTTTTTCTTGGCCAGGAAATACTAGATGCTCAGGGTGTTGTGAGAAGGTACATTGTCATGGTGAAGCAAACATGATTTGTTCTGCCACAACTCTCACATTTGAAAAATGATGCAATGGTCACAGAAAGCTAAGATTAGTTTTATAATCCTATGATATCATGATATATGATAACGCAATCCGCTTATCCCTCTTTTGTTCGTAGTTCACAAAATCACTTTTCAGACTAACCTCGTAAGTTCTGGATTATTCCAACATTTTTTCCAGATAGATCTAGTTTCCCTTATCGTTCAAATAGATCCTTGTGCCATACCCTGTTGAATTTTTTGGTAATCTATAAAACATAAGTACACATCTTTTTGTATTTCTATTGCTCTCTTGGATATCATTCTAATCATGATTGTATTTTTTGTTCCAGTATCCTTGACTGTACTATTCCTGGTTTAATTCTGCTTCGCACTCTATCTAGGTTAAAAGATGGGACAAGGACAACCAACTCTCACCATTTTAACAGTAAAGTGTCATCTGCATATTTTATATTGTTCAGATTACTCCCACCGATAATAAATCCTGGTAGGGACCCTGTTCCCTTAGGATAGATTTGCCATAGAGTTTAACTAAATCTGAGAAGAAACATTCTTATCTCACACAACTTTCTATTTTTATGTGGCTTCTCAATTCATTTTGTATCCATATGTAGGCTGTTTGTTCCCACTATGTGAGGTCCGTCTGAAAAGTAATGTGACTGGTGTCACAAACAATTTATTTCAATCCCAGGCAACAAACTACATGGTTTCCCATTCAAAGTAATTCCTCTTGAATATAATGAAATTTTCAATCCTTCTCTGCCATGCTTCTATGAGCTGTTGGAAGGATTCTTCATGGTTGCTCCATCATTATGGCTCTCT